AATATGTGGCAACAATCATACCCCGAACCGCAGCGGTGCGTGTTGATTATTATATTTATATATATATTCAGTCAATTTTTGCCGCCGTTTAAGCGCTAAATATCGGACGGAAAACCGTCGAGACTCGGGCGCCTGGTGAGACGTTAACGTGACAAGACCGGTGTGCAAATATTACCACGTCGAGTGTGAAGAATTCGTACGCCGCGTGGGTAGGGCTTCCCGGACGAGCAGAGTTATTTACGGGCGACGGATGTGGTCCGCGTATACACGTGTAAACCAAACACACGCATACGTGCTGATGGTTTCGAGCGGGCACGAGGGTACGACCGGGGTTAAATCGCGACGCGTACTCGACGCGCGTGTTTGCGCGTTTACCCACCTGCAGCCGTGGAGGCAAAATATTCCGGCGAAATATACGTGAGGCCGAAACAAAAATGTTACTTCCGGACCAGGCGTCAGGATATTGCATCGGTTGTGTGTACGCGTGTAAAACATACACGAATATATATATATATACGTATACGGCTGTACATTGTACATACCGAAGTGTATAAAATGAAAAAAAATAAGCAGTTTATGGCAATGGTTATTGTAATAGTACTACATTATATCTATAGGAGTAGTAGTAGTAGTAGTAGTAGTAGTAGTAATAATAATAGTAATAGTAGTATAAGTAGTAGTAGTAGTAGTAGTAGCATAACATAACCAGTAGTAGTAGTAGTACGGTAATAGCAACAGCGGTAGTGGTATAAAGACAGGCGGCGGTGGCCAGGAAATTGTTTTTGAAACGGAGAGAATCGTTAAACCGTGACAGAAAACTATATGCCGGTCCAAGGACTCTAGCGTTTTGATGCGGATGAGGAAAGAAATTACTCCGTTTTTTATTATTTTTTTTCTCTCCACTTCCTTTATATTCGTCGCGATGTTCGATTGGTTTTTCGATTTGTACACAATATTTTTATCTTGTCTCGTCCCTTTTCGTCATACCGTACGCGTACGACCACTTACACGTTATACGTTCGTGCATCATCTGTACGCAAGGCTGGATTAAGCACCAATTAGGCCCCGGGACTGAAATTTTATATGAGCCCTTTTGACAAAACATGCTTTACATAGCCGCTCGTTACGCTCGCAGATCGATACATTTTTTTTTAATTATTTCACAAATTGTCAATTGCATTATAAAATTATAAAATTAATAGGTGTATAAAATTTATGTTTATAAAACTACTAATTTTAGTACGATAAAAATGTGTACCGGCTTGAAATTGTTTTGGCCCCGGGGCTACCACTCCGGCTAGACCCCCCCCCTTAATTCTGCTTTATCTGTACGCGCATAATGTACCGACGTCAAATTGTTCGCATTACATAACAATACGATTCGAGCGGACAATGTTGTTGGACTAGGGAGTGGGTGGAGACGTGAACTTTTTGTAAAAATCAATCGTATTATACGAGTGGTATACCCAGTGCCGGATTACCCATTAGACAGGGTAGGCTCACGCTTTAGGGCCTCACTCATCTAAGGGGCCCTGTGAAAACGGAAAACTATATTTTTTTAATTCAATAATATCTGTATTATATTGACGGGAAAAAAGGCATTATAAAATATATGTTATGTTGTAATAAGTTAGTAATAAGTTGTTATACGCAGTAATAATAATAAAATTATTTTGAAAAAAATTAAAACAATGTTTTAAACATTGTAGAATATACAAATAAAACGATTGATTTTTCTTGCAAACAAAAAAATGTAATAAACACGATTTTATTTATTGACAATAGTCGGTTATTATTAAAGCTATTTATTTTAACTTTTGGATAGTAATGTTAAAGATATATGTAAAAAATAATTTTGTAGGGCCCAAAGTTTAATCGCCTAGGGGCCTACGAATGATTAATCAGGCACCGGGTATACCGTTGTCGGTGACTGTTAAACGTCATCGAAACTTAACAACAACGTTTTTTCTTGATTCGCGACTACGTGTACATAATAAACAGTGCATAATGCACTAAATATGTTCCCACGTCGACGTGGGCGTTTTGCGTACAGTGTTATTAAGACCTTCGTAAACGCTGTCGACGAAAAGTGGTAAATAATAATAATGAAAACCTAATGTATGCAACGGATGCATCATAACGATGTGTGCGGGTAATATCGCAGTCGTTTTCACATATGGTTCTCGTGTTGCCGTTCTTCCGCACTCGCGGCATTTCACTTTTGATGTAAGACGCAGGGGTGTATTTTAGAAGGGGGTTGAAGTAGCAATCACCTCTCCCTACCATGAATCCGTATTTAAGGAACCGATTGTATGTAAGATACACATTTCAAATTTTTTAATTTGGATCATTTTATAACGAAATCAAATCATGTGTGGCTGGCTGTGAATTAGGGATGGGCATGAAATCCGAATATCTGAATAATCCGGATTATAAGGATTTATGAATTTGCTTTTTATATAACTTATAATTATTTTTAATTTCTAGTAAAAATTATTTTATTTTATTGTAACAACAAATTAATATTATTTGTATCTATGATTACCTTATATTAACTGCATAACCTTTGAATGGTCATTGAATACAATTTTCTGAAGATAAGTTGAATTTATACTACAATACAATATAAAAATGATACAATAATAAATGTTATCGATGTAATTATTTACACGGATAAGTTTTCTTACGATTATCAAATAAAAACTATCTATCGGTATTAAAAAGTGTCATGCGGAGATATGGTGTGGGAATAGTATTTGTAATTTAACAGAAAAATTGAATTGAATGATCCAGATAGTTCGGATAATCCATGAAATCCGAATATGCCCATCACTACTACTGTGAATACTCAATTGGGCTTTTTGTCGGGTCCATACTTAGTGAAAAATCAAATAAAACACAAGCGTTTCTTTCAAAACGCAAATAGGTGTTAAAAAAGAACTACACAAAAGTCGATTCTAAGTGGATCCGGCATTAAATAAAAATAAAAAAAAAAAATCCACAAATATTTGGAATTCACCAGATTTTACCAAAAGTTTTACTTGTAATTTTGAGTCCGAAATAAAGAAAAAATTCGAGTCACGCCTTCCCCTCCCAACCCAAGAAGTAAGTCTAAACACGTCCCCGGTGCGTGTAATTCGTTCGACGTGACGCGTGTGGACGGGCGCACCCGTACGGGAACGGGTTGACGACGTCCTGATAACCCGGTCGACGAAAGTTCAACGTCGCCCGTCCCTTCTGGCCGGTTAAAACGGCAGTGCTGCAAATCCACGCGGACCCGTTCGTAACGATACGCTAACGTGCGCGTTACGATTCCGCGAAACCGACGGTTTAATCTGGATCCGTATTTTTTTTTTTTTTCTTTTTACACGCGTAAGCATTCGCTCGAAACGCATTGTGTTCGCCGCGACGCAATCGTACACTTACACGCATATACACACGTATTGCGAACAAGCGGTCGGTATTGCAGATGTCACGTTCTCGGAAAACAAATATTATTTTTATTTTTTTTTTTTCGCGCGGCAAAATCTAGGCCATCGCGTCGCGCGGCGAGCGGAGTTTCCGTTCGCGTACGGAAAAATGTTAACCGTAATCGCGAGTGTACACGCGCGGTGTTAAATATCATCGCGTCGGTAGGTCGGTCGAACGCGATACCGACAGGCCTGACGAGAATTCGGCGGTGGGAGGGAAAGGGATGATCACCCCGGGGGCCCGAAAATCGGGGACTGCAAATCGTTAAAAATGAAACACAATTATTGATGATGAGAATTTCACGAACTCTGCGGAAAAAATTATGAACCCCACCGCGACCGGGTCTCTCTGACCGCGCCCTGGCTACATGGTAGGGTCAGGAGCTCGCGGAGAGGACTCCGCGACCGGCAAAAGGTTACGAGAACATATGTTCGGCACGCACGCGGCCGTTTATCGCTGCCGTCGCAACGAGTCGAATAACGTCTCGGAATCGAACAGCGCTTGACCCGAACGCGTTGGAACGGCTATAAACGTGTGCGGTAGCGCTCACGCGCAATATTAATCTTTGCACACGTACGGTTTGCGTTTTCAACGATTCTCCCGGCGCGGTTTTCGCCATCATCGTTCACATCCGGCGCGCAACGCACGGCGTGTTGTACATCGAACTGTAACGTTCACTCGTCTCGCGGTCGCGACGGCACAGCCACTGCAGTGTTGACTACCTATTATGTAAACGCGAAGGAACTGTGATCCGTACGGCATATATTATTATTATTATTATTATTATTTACGTAACACTTGCAAACTTACATTTGCCCCGACCAAAGCGAGTTCGCAGCCGTCGTTATATTATTGTAACGCTAAAAGTCCTGTACGTAATCGGTTATGTTTCGAACTAAAGTCCAACAACAGTCGCTCTCTCTTTCTACGCGAAACGCTTCGAACGCACGTCGGCGAAAAGTTTCCTCTTCAACCGTATCGTATCGTTTCGACCGTCCGTACGACAACAATACGTTTTATGAATCGTACGTAACGCGGTCGATTAACGGGCGCGCATAATGCAAAGGCGAATAATTGCTTCGAGTCCTAATCGATATATTATGTGGTTTTGTTTCGAAAAATAAAAAAAAAAAAACCGATTTCAGAACGGCTTTCGGCACGGTTCCCGATTGTATAACAAGACGGTTGCGTCTACTATTCTGCAACTGCTACTCTGCACGCAACGACGCCTTTATCGATACATAAAACAGTGTATTTTTATTGTTCGTAAACGTTGTCCGATTGAAAAATCGAAAAACATACGCGATTCGTCGGAACATTGTATACTACGCGCAGTTGTGCACGCGCGAATTATACGACATAATAACGTTTTATTACATTATTCAATATTAATAATAATAGTAGTACGGCAGTCTGCGGCGGCGGCTGCTACTAGTTGCGCGCACCGCCCGTACGGTAATCATCATGTGGAAGGGGGCAACACTGATGTTCGCCGCCGCCGCCGCCGCGGTCGGTCGTATCACGCGTTGTGCCCCGTACAATTATCAACCAGCAGCGTACCGTTTTGTTGCCGTCAGGTTGCCGGTAGAGCATGTCGTGCCGTTCCTTCGTTCCGTCAACGACGACGTGATAATAAACACACACTATACACATATTCAATTTATCTTTTTCTCCTTGTTCTCATCACAGCAATCGTATTAAATTATTGTTAAATATTTTTACGTTCGTGTCGCGTCCGTAATTTATCGTGTCCGAGAAATAATATTCGTTAGTATTTTTTTTTTTTTACATAATATTTTCTTAACCGACAAGTTCGTACGTACGGTTTTTGTTTTTCCGCTCGGAAAATATTTTTACTTTTACACCGCTCATCGATAGTGCGCGCGTACGACGGAAATAAAAAGTTCGACAGTGCTCGTCGCCGCTTCCGCGTGTGTGTCTCTCGTGTCGTTACGCACGTAAATGCTTCACCGTCGTCCGAACGTCGTCGCAGAAAACGTACCGATTTCTTGACACGAGAACGCCGCCCCAACATTATATCCTGTGGAATTCAACCGTCCGCCCGACGATAAGGTACAGAACATTATGATTATTATTTTTTATTTTTCATTTCTTTAACGGTGTTCGCGGAGTATCCGAATTACGTTTCTCGCGTTGTTTCCCGTGTTGAACGGATAACGTAATACAATGCTGTTTTGTACACCGTCTCCTGCGCGGGGAATAAAACGCCGTTGCATAACGGTCGCGCCAGTCGGTGGCACACGAACACGCCTTATGTAATAACATCGTGTTCGTAACACGGCGAAAAGAAGAGAGATAAAACGCGACGGGTTTTTATTTTTTGTATCGTCGATTTTTTTCTACGGTCCAACGGTGTTCGTGCAACACAACAGCGACGGAGAATCGTTCGTCGAATATTCCAACAGTAAAATAATAGCACATTTAAATATCAAACGCCACCACCGTTGCCCGATATTGTTCGCAACATCGCACCTTGCCCCGCGCAGGAGGTCGAACAGGTGTCACCCCTGCGGGCACGCCGCGATGTAGGGTCCTGATTTCGTCCATTGTGTAGGGCAGAAGGGCAGTACGAGGGTTGCCAAAAGCGATTGTGTGAAAGCGTTACGGAATATTTTATTGTTTTTTTTTTTTTTTTTCGCCCTCCCGTCGTATTCTTCACGAATACCGATACGAAATAATTGCGCGAAGGCATAGTTGCGCGCACGCATACACCTGCTAATACACGGACGCGCGCGCGCGCACACACACGCCAATACACACGGGGGCCGCGAGCAGAGATACGCAAATACGCTGACAATAAAACGAGCGGCTCGTCGAAAGGGTTGGCCGCACTGGTTATTGGTCACGCACGTCACACGGCCCGTGGCGGCGGCGCTCGTATTTCCTGTTCCGCGATCGTAACGACGATTGTGTCGTGTGTACGTATATCGTCCGGAGGCGGTTACCGACGGTAGAGCGGACAGGACGCGCGGCGTGTGGTTGCGTCGGCGGCGGCGTTGTAGAAGGTGCGCGTGTGTGGGGTGTGTGTGTGTGTGTGTGTGCGCGCGCGCGTGTAGAAGATGTTGCGCGTCGAACGTCGTGCGCGGGCGGGAGAGGGCTCCCGAGACGACGAGATGCGCGTTCTTTTCCGCCACCGCCGTCGCCGCCGCCTCCCTTTCTCGTCGAACGCTATTGTCCTACGGTTGACCTTGACTACGCAACGCACACGACCGGATTCCGGACGGACTTCCACGACGCGCAGACACCGCGCACCGTACGCGCTTGTCGCCGCCCGCGTTCTATCTCGCTTCGCTTCGGTCATTTGTTGTTCTCGAATAATAATAATAATCGCATGATAAACGCGAACATATATATTTTACGACGTGTCCGTCGTACAGGTATTCGTACCGGAGTAGGTTTTTTTTTTTTTCTTTTCGGGGGGAGGGTCAAGGTTTTGTTTTCGCATTCCGTCGCTCCCGGCTTTTGTGTACCCGTACAACGTGTCGCGCCCGTGTTCACTTCCCGCGTTGTCGTTTTCGCGAACGGAGATTTTTTCGTTCTCCTCGTGTCCGTTTTTCCGCTTCCGTTAACCATAGCTCGGTTCCGAGTTGACGATGATCGTTGTTATAGTAATAATCATCATCATCGTCCATTATTATTATTATTATTTTATTGTAGTGCGTCGTGTCGTTTGCATTGTTTTTCGACGCGCCCGTCGGTATATTTCGGAGGAAGTGGGAGACACGACAAAGACGACGCACTGTGTATGTGCGCTCGCTCGCGTGCGTGCGTTTTTGGGAAGCTGCCGTCGCAGCCGGTGGAATGCGAGGATGGGTTGGCGGGGGAGTGGCTGCTGCGGTGCGGGCGGCGGGACGATGGAAAAAAAAAAAAGGAAACGGCCCCGTTCCCACGGTATGTGGTGTCTGGGGCGCCCCGTCTGTGCGTTCTTCTCCGAGGGAACGACGGTGGTTGGGGACAAGGGATTTCTAGTTTCTTTCTTTTTCTTCTTCACTTCTCTTTTCTCTTTATCACCACCGCCAACGCCACCGCACCCCTGCGACGGACGAACACCTGCTCACTCTCTTCGGGCGTGCGTGCGTGTGTGTGTGTGTGTGTGTGTTTATACACAAAAGGGACGCGTTCGACTTCCCTTCTCCCCCTTGCACTGTAAACGCATTGAACCCGCACACTCTTTTGACGGACCGTAGGGGAGAAAAATCTTCTCGAGATGACATATTTTTTTTCTTTCTTATCGCGTTCTCCCTTTCATTGTCCCATTACACTGTTGTGTTCCGTATTCGCGCCGGAGTGTTGCGTTCGGGTCTCCGTCATCATTCGTTTTGATAGCTGCACTCGACTTTTTGCCGGGTACGTGTAATTTTTTTATATTCGTTAAGACTAATATCGCTAATATCGCACCGCTGTTAATTTTTATTTGCTATTATTCACGTAGGGAATCCGGACGCGCGCGCGGTTAATAAGGTCAAGTTTTCCATTTCGTAATAATCGACGACGACTGTAATATTATACATTAAATGTAAATGTCCTGGCTTCCGGTGCACGCGTTTGCCGCCGCCGCTACCCCGACGTTCGGCAACGGTTATAGTCCAACGACGAACGGATAAAAATTATTGCGTTTTCCCGTACGCGTGCGCGTTAGACGTAAAACGTTGCTTTCTGCTCCGTCGCAACCGCGCATTTCGATAAGAAGCGGTGCACACACGCCGAGAGAAACCCGTTTCGGTCTCCTCTCTCGACATATGGCGCGGGGGTAACAAGACCTGTTGCTGCGCAGGCCACAGAGCGGAAGTTCCTATACTGTGTGTGTGTGTGTGTGTGTGTATGCCAGTGAGCGCGTTTGTGTATATTACACTATGGTTTACGTCTTTGTACGTACACGTTGTGTGAGTGTGTCGAGGCCCAGGACAAAGAACCGCGTACGATGCCGCCACAGCCGCCGTCCAAGGTTAACCGCCGCCGCGTCTCGGTTTTCCTTCTGTGTGCTCAACAATATCATGTGTGTGCGATGGTGTCCGTCCGTCGTGTGTTACGACCAACATTTTTCCACCAGTATTTGATTTCGTTCGACCGGATCGTTATTATTAGTCACTGTTCACCGCGGTGACGGTATCCTTATGGTACGTTGTTGTTGTGATCAGAGCAATGAATATTATTGTAATTCATTTTTATGTTCCGTTAAAACGTACGCGGGACAGTGTGTGATGGAACAGTTGAATGAAAAGAGGGCGGCAGGGGCATTATGCGGTCGGTCAAAAAGATATTATTAATGTCGGCGACGGTACGCGCGCGCGTTTCCCGTACGACCGGAAGTCTTCGGCCGCGGCCGGTTCATGTAATGCGCGTACGAATTCGTTTCGTCGGTCGTGTCAGCGGCGGCGGCGCAACGGGCACGGGAAGTGCACGCCAAGAAGTTTGTACGGCACCGTTGTTCTACCGTTCTATTTTTACGTTCCGTGCGTGTCTAAAACCGTCGTCGTCGTCGTCGTCGTGTCTGTTATGTAAAAATGAAAAAAAAAAATTAAATTTATATTTACATGTATCTATATATATATAAGTAGGTATATATAGCGAGACAGATGAAATGAAATATACGAATAGATAAGATAGGTCCTCGATTTGATTGATAATAATTGATGTCGAAAACCGAAAGCGCTGCGAAAATTCCGTATACAATGACTATAAATAAAATTATAATCGGGTTCCGCGCCCAACGGTTAAGGAACGTTCGGTTGGCCTCTTGACGTTATCGTAGGTTTGATTACAGTATTAATATGAAAATAATGTGATAACGCAGCTGAGAATGCCGAGTTACGGATTGTTGTGTTAGCGATGTTCGTTCGTAAACGCCACCGGGCGATTGTAAACTTGGCCCATGTTTTTTTCAGGTAAAAATAATTTAGGTGTAAATTCGGCCCAGATAATAATGTATATTTGGATAATTTTCTTATAATATTTTTGAGAACCATTAAGCATTACCCAGAGGACACCATGAGGAGGCGTTGTATATATTCCTTTTAACATACCGAATATCACTTACTTGTAGATCTTGCGCGTCAGGTACGTTGTTTACTGCACTACAAAAAAATTTTGTTTGGCCTACTGCAGATATCCTCAGTTCCTATGCGTTTGGCCACTGTGGTAACATATTGTCGTTATAGTACTTGGTCCCTGATAGGTTATTTTTCTCCGTAATGTCATTATTTATTCCAAACGTTTTTAAAAAAGTTGTACATTTGCGGTTTATACATCGACATTTTATTTCACCTGAAAATATTATCGAACCGAGATTACAACCGACGTTTTTTATTAAAATTTCCGAGCCGAGTTTACAATCTACCTACTTTATTAACCTAAAATTTTCGGGGCCGAATTTACAACAAAAAAGGTAATCTCGGGCCCAGTTTACATTTGCCCGCGCCACCATATTCATTGCGTACACTGAACCAGACCGTAATAATAGGCGAGACAAAAACAATTTATTTAATATCGGATCCTGTTGAAGTTTTCGCCGTGTATGATCAAACGTTTTGGGAGTAAAATACGGTCGTCAAAAATGGACTACGGCCGTCGGTCCTGTTACGATTTTTTGGTATTTCTCCTGAGGAATGTCTTTCGGCTATTAATTGTGTACATGATTTATTTATTAAAATGTAATTTTCATGTGAACGAAAAAATCATAACATAGCATTTTAAACTCAAGCCACCCGAGCGAATTACATGTTACAGCCTAAACTCGGGATCTAGAGGAGGTCCAGTCCCCCATCCCCTCCGTAAAACAATCATTGCGATGTTTGTTGTTGTTGTCTTTTGTCCATTGTTTCTTTCTACCGTACATGTATTTTTTTGGCACGTCTGAAAAGGAAATAGGAAATATGATATTTTTCTATACTTGTAGTTTTTCGAATATTTATGAAAATTATAGATTATCTTTTAAATAGCGTACATTCTTCCGCGTTGTAGAGGTTGTTAATACGTCGAGTTAACCTACTTTTATTACGAGGCATTATCAGACGCGTATTTATATAATACTATTATTATGATAGAAAACGATT